TGTACAGTACATGAGCATGGTGCAGGTGTTTTCTGTTTAAATGTCTTGTATTTTTTTATTTTACTTATAAATATGATTTGCAGTATTGTTGATTATATTTATGTTTGCAAGGACCTCCTCAAAAACAAGATGGTACGTCTCAACGAACTATCCTCGAAATAAAATAAAAATATTAACAAATATTTTGCTAGCAGACATAGGCAATTACTTGATTGCCCACTTTCATGGCAGCGAGAGGTAAAACATGTAGATTCAACCCTGTGTTTTCACCATGTTTTCATATATTTCGTCTTCACCGCATGTGTGCAAATTTACACAGTGTTAATGTTGTTAATTGCTTCTAGAACTAGTGTCTGTTTCCTTTATTACAGAAGAAATGTGATCTCTGAAAAACGTCAACAACTCTCGTGTGCGACCTGAAATCACTTTTCATACTTATTTACTTCAGCTGCTGACACTTTCAGCCAATCAGAGTGTTACTCTTCCTACGACAGGACTGACTAGTGACCATTGAGAGACGTTACCTAAGAAGATTACAGCTAATTCCCTGCATGCTCCCCGCATTTACTTCTAATTTAAATGGATTATTTCTTGGATATATATCTTTTTGGTTTTCAGGTCATGAGAATTTGCTGCTTCAGTGTTTGCTTTGCAGAGAAATCAATACTTTTTTGAGAAGCTAAAAATACCAGCTAGCCCACCGGTTGGCTTTGAAAACAGATGGAGGCGATGAGAGACTTAAGAGGCTTCACGGTGTGATCTATTTGTTTTGTTTTTTTCCTGTGTTTTGTTTCCGGTCCACAAGGCTCAGCAGTTCGGCACCGGGCCAGACAGCCGCTTTTTTAGGGATGAGATTCGTCAGCTCGAGGCCCAGCTGGAGCAAAGGGAGAAGGAGTTGGCCCTGCTAAGGAAAGACATGGGCAAGGAGAAGAAAAGCAATGAAGAGGTAGGAGTGTGCCACCTACAGTACTCCCACTTTTTAAAGGACTTCATGGGTTCAGGTTGAGTGTTTGGGTGTTAGTTTACACACATTTTTCATAGTGAGCCATCATTTTGACTGGGTTGTAGGAAATCAAATACTTTTTACCATTTAAGACACATAAATCAATCTGTACCTTTTTATATACAGTTATGTTTTATGTGTTTTCAGGCTCGTCTCTCTTTATTAAAACGAAACTACCAAAAAATGAGATTGTTTATTTACTTGCAACTGAGCAAACTTATAAAATCAGTAAATCAAGTAATTGCTTCTTCCACTGTATATTACATTACAGCATACTTAAGTATAACAATATTAAATATTAAAGAAAAATTGTATTTGAATATGTATATGTAAACAATTATTATTATTATTATTACAAAATCTGTTTCTTCACTAATGTCAGCCAGTTTGTTTACTTTAAGCTTCCACATTTCTGTACGTAATCAATTGGAAAACAATTAGCTTGTATGTTTTTCTCGTTGATATGCTTTGTGCCTTTTGTTCTTTGTTTCGTTTTCCCAGCTGATTGGACGGTTGGAAGAGGCCGAGGACGAGGCGAAGAAGCTGAAAAGAGAGGTACCAAACTTCACATCTGTTTCACTACATTCTTTGTCTATTCTCCCCTAACACCTTATTTTCAAGTAGTTTTACAAGCTTTTCCTTTAGTTTGTTTATTCTCTTTTATCTATGTTTGTTCCACTGGATAGTTGAAAAAACTGAAGAAGGAGGTAAGATACATATAGGAAGTGTAGTGAAGTTAAAATAGGTTTGATTTAGGAGAATTGTTTGCTCTTTTTTTTCTAAGAATAAGTATAATTAAATCTGTAGACATTTTCTACTTTGTTATAGCTGTAGTATTATTGTGTATTTTGCCTCTTTTTTGAGTTCATAAAGGAAAAGTAAGTAATAAAGCCTGAAAAAAATATTACAGGTGAAGGAGATGCAGTTCCTGGTATTTCTGCCGACATTCATTCATTTTCCGTTTTGTCTTTTACCTCTGTGATTCTTTTCTCTAAACCTGAGCTAAATCTGACAACTTGAACCACAAAGTCACACAGCTGAAAAACCTAAGAGTGTAAAAGGCTCACATTTCTGAAGCTTCTTTAAACATACTTTATTTATGTATAATCACAGGAATGTGCATTTTGGCTTTTTTTTTTCTTCCTGAAATTGATTCCATTCTTCCTGCACCACATCAGAACGAGCAGCTCCAGCAAGATGTCAGCTTCTATCGCAGTGAGCTGGACCAAAGAGAGCCTCTCTCGTCCAGAGATGAGAACGCAGAGACTCAGAGGAAGCTCAGCGCTGCCAACCGTCAGCTATACCAGTGCCTGGAAGACCTTCAGGTGACTAAGCTAATCATTTATAAGTCCTTCCTGTTGAGCCACGCTTTAGAACTGAAGTCATATGAACAATTAAGGTCCTCAGAGAAAATTATTAATATGTCCACTGCCAAAAACAGGGAAGATCAAGGTTGTTTTCACTTAATAATTGCATGTTTTACAGCTTCTTTTTATGACTCTTATCAGCTTTTATTACCTGCTCTTTCCACCGTTGATTTGCAGCATGCGTTCATTTTATAGGTATGCATATAAATTACTGTATTGCTCTGCGTCCAACAGCGAGCCGAGGATGAAAACGCGCATCTGAAGACACAGAATGAGCAGATGCAGAAGAGTCTGGAGGAGTCTGTGAAGGAGATGGAGAAGATGACAGATGAGTACAACAAGATGAAGATCATTGTGCATCAAACTGACACAGTTGTGGACCAGCTCAGGAAGGAGAGGGATCATGCAAATCTTCAAGTAAAGATTGCTCTCACACCCAGCTGCCTTTGTTTTAGTCAATATTATTATTTCATCCAAAATTTGTGGGTGGTTTGAGCTGAACAGTCATCATTCCTTTCTAATGCTATTAAATTGTGAGAGGGATGTCAAAAAACATCCATCCATCCATCCATTTTCTTCCGC